CGCTAAAACAGTCGTTTTCTTTCGCGCCTTTGTTCGGTAGAGAGAAAAAAATGGCGCAGATGAACAGTGCGACGCCAATATTGACGTCGCACTATTCATCCGCGATCAAATGACGTCAAAAATGACGATCGGTTGGAGATGCCCTTAGGAGGCATCTTCGGTGATTACCTCAATTCTCAAACATCAATGGAATTTCCTTACACGTTTGGTGTACCGTAAAAAATGATCCGTGTCGTCTTGCGAACACCTGTAGGACGAAATCGTCCTAACCGTCCGTCAAGATCTCTTCTTCCCACCATTGATTTTGTCCACCCGAGCTCCTTATTTATAATCGACAAAACCGACCATGTTTTGTGCGCTTCTCTCGATCTCGCTGGCATGTCCTCCTCCTGTATGCTTGATTCTTTTTCATCTTCTTTAACTTTTGATCTTTCATTTGCCAATTAGGGTTTCACAATAATCTTACCTTCGTATTTCTGATCCTTTTGCTGATGCAAAGGTTTTTGGTTTTGTAGATGAAGGATGATGACAATATTTTGCTTGGGCTTTTTGCATTGACAACGAGAGGGAGAAAGCTGGTTGGCGCCATGAACGCCGTCGTGACCGCTTGCTTGCGTGCTCCCCCTTGTTGTCATCCACTTCGCCCTGCAAAATGGCTGCCATGAAATTTCGGAGCCGTGGCTCTGTTACCAGGAGATTTCTACTATCTAAGAGGTAAGCCTAATAATTTTCTTTGTATATTTATAGATCTAATGCTTAAATCTTTATATGTATTTTTATAGTACTCAAATGTCTAAATTACATAAAAAAATATAATTAATATTCTTATTTAAAGTAAAATATATTTTTCATGCATATGTTTTGATAATCAATGCAAGGTAAAATAAATAAGTCAAATAACATACATATAATTATTCAATTCAAATCAGAATAAACATGTAACTTTGAGAACATGTAAAAATTATATGAATGATGTTATTTGATATGAGCGATGGAATCAATATAAGCAATGTAATTTAGAATCAATGATCAACAATCATATAAAGGACCAGCATATTATGTCATTTCTATACGTATGCCAAATGCAATGCAGCAGATCTATTATGAATATATTCATGTTCATAGTTATCAGTATACATTTCATATCAAGCAAGTGTTTTACACTTGTTCTATGTATATCGTACAATATCAATACACATATGTTATGTTTTGCATCATGTATAAATGAGTTATATAATGTATGTCATTTATCTCAAATGAATTATATACCCTTGAATAAGGATTATCACATATCTATATTCATTATGACATGTATCATGCTCGTATCATATTATATCATATCACATATGTAATTCATCATATGTGCTTGTCTTATGTATGTGCTATAACGAATAATAAGCAAGGTAGAATATGTGGCTACTTATATGTTTTTTGTCATATCAAGTCATGTAGGTCCTTCAGATCAAATAAGAATAAGTCTCAATCAAATCAATCATATAAACAAATATCAATCTCATATCGCATATCACAAGTTAGGTGAATTTCATGTAAGAAGTTGTCAATTCTTGATTGTTAGCGTGACATATCATAACAGTCAATCTCCTTATACCTCCCATTTAATATAACTTAGGATTACATCATAAATTTTATTTAAAGGAACACCTCACAGTTCATCATCCTGTACAGGATAGCACATATACAATCATTTTTAGTCAGTCTTTCTTATTTTTACACACATTCATATCTTATCTTATATATATATATATATATATATATATAACAGACAACATGCATACATCTTATACAATTATAATGGCACATAAATCTAATAGTGTGCTTATCAATATGCATGTTAGGTCAGATAAATAATAAATTTATGCATATCATGTATTTTATGTCCAAATATAATATATTAGCTCCTAATCATTTTGTATTTTATATTACCTTATTTATTTAGGTAAAATGACATATATGCAAAACCAAACGATTAAATCTCAATATAAATCTGTTAAAACATTCAGGGTTAATATGTACCACATATAATAAAAATTTTATTGTAAAAATTTAGTAAAATGAGAGATGAAATTATTATCAAATTTAAGAGAGAGAAAATAGACAAATTCAAAATCATCAAAAATAAAAATAGAATTAAAGTTACCTACCACAATTAGAGTATTTTTCACAACTGGAGCGATGGAAAATATGTTACCCTGAACCCCACTTTCTCTATCCTCTCTTGTCTTGTCTTCTCCTCTCTACTATTCTCATCTGGCCAATCAAAGGGAAAATGGGGAGGGATAGCTTAGGGTGAGGTTTTAAAAAAAATATTTTAGATGCTTTTTTTTTTTAATTTCTAACTCAATAATAAAAAAACTCAAGACCCTAAAGTCCTTGTGTTCACTCATACTCTTGTAAACCTAAGAGCTTGGCGCCGCAGTGCACCCAGCCAAAATTTCAAGTTTACAAAAATTTCAATGAAAATCAATTTTGAGGCTATTGTTTTGAGGCTATTACAGTTATGCCTCTCAAATATTTCACAAACTCAAAATAGATACATAATCAAAATCTTATGACTCTTTATGCACAACACATCAATATCAAGCTCTTATAATTCAGCACATACTAATAATAGATCCTTATGACTCTTAATATATAGCATCATTTATTCATTTAGAATCGGGCCCTTATATATCCACTTGGATACACATAAGCATCAATATACATCCGCCAATATTTTCTTCTCACATAATTTCAATCACAAATAGATAAACCTTAACACTTTTAACAGAATAAATTGAATTAGATACATCACATAAATATTCATAATTTCACCCTTATGGCAAAGTAGTCATAATTTTGAGACAATACACCCACTTTAATAGTTACTACTTATAAAGAATTCACAGATAATGTTCACAACAATATTTATGGGCTTTTATTTTTCTATAGCAATTTTTATTAGAAATCATAAACACACATCAAAATACTCAACTTCGTATGATAAAAAATACCCTATAAAAATTCAAAAGAAATATGTCAAAATATGCAAAATAATAAGAAAAATGACATATAAAAAGTTATATGATGTAAACTTTCTATATGTTTGAATATCCTCACTTTTGTATCATTTATATAATTAAAAATTCAAAACTTCGTAAAACCTATATTATTAAAAATAAAGATATGGTAAATGTAGTTTACTCAATCCGCATAACTTTACCAATAAGCTCAACAAATAGAAAAAAGCCCGAAGGTACCCAAATTAGATCCTGGTGATCTATTCCTGTCATCATCTGACATGGTACTTTTTGTTCTGTTTGTGGGTTATATCGAGTTGGGTTGTTTGCTCTCTAATAACTTCAAACATGAGACTAATTCAAAGCCCCCTAATGAGTTCGTTTGAGATGAGATTAGACTCTTTGATGACTTCAAATCTAAGACGAGTTCAAATTCTCTTATACCTAGAGATGAGTTTAGATTCTTCGACAACTTCAAATCCAAGACAAGTACAAAGTTTCTAACGGCTTCAGATATAAGATGAGTTCAAGATCTCATAAGACATAAAGCCTATGGTGAGTCAAGTCTTTGACAACTACAAGCTTGAAAAGGGCTAAACCGCTAAAGCTCTATGACTTCAAGTCTAAGACAAGTTTAGATCTTTAGATGACTTCAAATCTAAGGCTAGTTCAAAGTCTAACGACCTCAAACATGAGATGAATTCAGGCCACATTCTATTTGATTAACCTAACCCAATTAATTATAAGTGTACACAATTAATTTAACATGAAATCACATAGGAAAAAAAGTCACAAACAAACAATACGCAAATTATTTCACAAATAAACAACTAGTTCTACCTTACACCTCACTAGTACAGGAACAAAGTCACAACCAATTATACGCCTTGATGTCATTGCACTAACATTACAAATCCATTTGCTATAACTACAATCTTGCATCCTACTGCTCCAAACTGTGAAAACACTGAGAACCCATAAATTTTAGCTAGCAATGCCACTTCTACGAATTAATTCAAAATCACCATTCAACGCACAACACATGTTACTTTTTTTGTTTCTTTCTTTCATCTTTATTTTTTCCAAGCATTAGAATTGAAAAATAATAAACAAGGTGCAGGAACAGTGGATCGCATTGAAGCAGTTTGAAACAGATATCAGCCTTCGATAATTTTATTCATTGAGCATAAAATATTTAAAAAATAGGAAATCATTTCATGTTTTCAGGTACCTGGCATATTGCATCCCAATACAACTGATATTCCAGAAGGAATGCATTAGAGAAAGGTTCTGAATCAACTCAACCCCACCCATCAACATTTATCCTTGCAAACAAATCTATCAATGCAGTTAAGTGTAGTCCAAACTGAGCTATAAAGGGTTAAAAAGTCATCCTGTAAGCAGCAGCACTTCTTTTCTGAACTCTGACTATATGTTGTTCTGAAGAAGATCAAAAACAACCGTGCTGGGGAGAAGCAAATTGTTTTTCGACAATCAACAGGTTTCATAGAAGTGGCTTCACAAACTGAGTTTCAGTGAAGATGACCTTTTAGTGAATATCTACAGCTTGAATGGACAGACACAATTGAAAGACTTTATTGAATGATCAAAAAAATCAATTGAATCAAGGAAATTCCTTAAACAAGGAAAAATTGGTGGGAGTGAGAAAGCAAAAATTTTCACATGTTCTTGGACTGTCAGTTGATCTTAAATGAGAATAAATTAACATAGATGGAACATCATGACCAAGTAACAAACAAGGGTAAAGAAGAGCATCGTTGCAGTAAAGTAAAGAGGTGGCCAGTACATTTATCAAGTGAAAGTAGTCGTTATTTAGATGAACAGCGCCCACTCTTCAAAAAAGAATAGACACCTCTGGCTAGGACTCGACTTAGGCCGGTGAAATGCTTTAACTCATAAAGGAAATAAATAGAGAAAAGCCCGTCAAGTGATTGGGTGGTTCCATCATCATTCAGATTATACCTTCTCATCGTCAGAATTCATTTTCTGTCGTTTGGATGAGGGGAGTCGTTTTAATTTTCCAGGGCTGGCTACAGAATAGCTTTCAACTGACAATGTTAACGTGGCAGGCCCAGATGATGACTCTAATGGTTGTCGAACAACAGGAACATTATATGATGATGTTGAAAGACTCTCCGTGATGCCCTTTGGAGCAGCTATTGGATGATCAAATTTGCAAGTCAAGCCATATCCGCAGTAACCATAACGGCCATAAAAAACACACAGAGGTCGACCCTGCAAAAAGAGTTGATTATATTCCCTTCTGGAAAGAGCTAACTGTATGAACTTCTCAAGATATGCAAAAAGCTGATGTTTAATATCCAGTCATCAAATGTAAATTTAAGAAAGATCATGTAGAAAGTCCTTCGTTATACGAAGTGAGCAGTATAGCTTACCGGGCGTAGGGGAAGACCCTCGGGGCTTAACTCACAGTCTGACGTAGAAGTTATATTTGCTATTGGATGATTAAACCTGCAGGCTAAACCAAATTTACAATCCCCTGTTTTTGCAAAGAATGGGCAATCAGGTTCACCAGGTCTCAGAGGAAAAGAAGAATATGAAGCCGGAGGATTCATGGCTGTTCCACTTCCAACAAATTGGACATTCCCAGAATTCTGTTGCTGGTTAAGATAATACTTCAAATAAGAAATCAAAAGGCAACGCTCCCAAGTTAGAGCATATATATCTGTAAGCTCCAACTTATTATAAAAACACGCAAAAGGCAGATGCCATAGAGCCTTATTAAAGATATCCTTCATTTGTTTGGAACCGAAGATAGGAGTGTAATTTTCTTGGAAAGTATTTCCATATCGAATGATTATCTATATCAATATGTTCAGTTCATTCATGAAAAAGTAAGATCACTGGCAAAATAACTTGCAACACAATTATCATAATATAAAGCCATGCGTTGAGTAATGAGATGATTAAATTCTGATGAGTTTCAAACTGCATCATTTTGCATGCAAATTAAGGCTTTGCTTGGGACGGCTTTTTCATTATTTTCTAAAACGGTTTTTTAGTATAAAAATTTTTGTTCATTAGAAAATTTTTGTACTAAAAAGTTGTTCATAAAGCATAAAAAAGTTGCCCCAAATGAAGCCGAAGTCATAGCTGTATTTTGGTTCAACACTTGACTTTGTCACAATAATTTATTTCTTGCTTTTCAAGCCACTAGGTTTTCTCCAATAAAGATGTAATATAGCTCTGTATTTATAATCAACCGAGTCAACATAATCGACATTGATAAAATGCTTCAAATTTTAAATTCTCATATTAAGCATATTAACAACCCTTTTTTTTTTACTTATATAAATCTAAGGATCAGTGAAATAGCTTCTTAATGCCTATTCTTTGAACTTGGCATGTGCTAACTTACTACTTGAACAGCAAATGAAATGGCATATTTGATAACAGTTAGATAAATCAACTTACCAACTAACCTCTCTTATAGGGATGGATCACCAACAGGTTTATGTATAGAAAACCTTCCAGAGAAGGCAACAAATTCCCCCCTCAACAACGAAAAATTATTTGGTGCGAAGTGTGCACCGTCCGTACAAATATTGAGTACCTAGCGGTACCCAGTGGTACCCAGCAGTACTGAGTGCCGGTACCTAGCTGGGTATAGTGCTTGTGCGGACGGCTCTCCCCGTCCGCACTCCGCACCTAATAATCTCTCCTCAGCAAGAGCCGTCCGCACTCCGCACCTAATAATCTCTCCTCAGCAACATACCTAAGAGGTTGCTCCACATAAATGACTTATTGCAAGTCACTGTAAAGGAATGTATAACTTACATTCATTTGTAGCATATTCCAACCTTCATTGATGAAGTGCATTTTATTATGTATTAGAAATAGATTAGATAATTAAGACAAGGCAACATAATTCTTTCAAAAAGGGTGATCAAATTAAATATATAAGTGAATAGGGCAAGAAGAACGTTATCATTATATTTCCAATAAAACAATAGGAAGATGAAGGTTTAGGGTTTCATTGGTTACTGGATTTTCATTTGAATTTGATGATGTGATGGGAGGTGTTTTCATGAGTGGAAATGAGGATGATGAAGGCAATCTGTCAGAGGAGCTTTTGTGTAAGAGTATATTAGCTAGCAAGGAGAGCTTAGCGGCGAAGCGGGGAGAAAAGAAGTGAGTAGTTGCCTGAAAGGTTAGAAAATGTATAAAACGTTGTGTAAGTGGATCATAAAGCCTACCAATGAACTTTTTGAGTGGAAGAATACCTAAAGAGGATACATTGAATAACACGGCGGACAGATTTTCTGGCAAGTGGACCACATGAAAGAAGCAAGTATGATTAAAGACCGTGGTATAAGGCTAAATTTTAGTTTAATTGAGATAAACAATGGAGCTAAGTGAGGTGTGCTCTAAAAGTGGATGAGGGATTTGCTTGATGAGATAATAAGTAGTTAAGATAGCATCCCCTGAGCATTAACGAAGAGCATTTATGAAAAATATTAATACAACAACAAAAACAACATCAACAATCCAACTTGAATTCTACTAATAATATCATCATCTATTTCACAATCACTCTGAATAATAGACCCAAGATATCTAAAATGAATACAATTATTAATGACTTGATCGCTCAAAGTCACAAAACCCCCACTAGATCTATTACTACTAAAATTACACTCCATATATTCGGTTTTAGATCTGCTCAAACGAAAACCTTTAGACTCGAATGTTGACCTCCATAATTTGAGTTTATCTTCAATTCCCTCTCTAGTTTTATCAACAAGAAGAATATTATCAGCAAAAAGCATACACTATGGTACATCCTCTTGCAAATGTCTAGAAAGAACATTCATGACTAAAGCAAAAAGATAAGGGCTTAAGGCTAATCCTTGATGTAATCTGTCTGGCATCTTGTTAGTCTTCAAAATAATATTAAAAAATTTAGTAAGCCAATAAATTCCTTCATATCCTTAGTATTTCCACACCCCTATTGGAATATCATCCGGTCCAATAGTTTTTCCATACTTCATTTTTTTTAAAGCCTCTCTAACTTGAGTTTTACTGATACGTCTATAAAAATAAAAATCAATATTTTCATTTAGAGAGCTAAGGTCACTAAAATCAATTGTATTCTCACAATATTCATTGAAAAGCTTACCTAAATATCTCATCCACCTTTGTGAAATATCCTATTCTAAAAAACAATATTTTTTATCTTCATGCTTAATGTCACTTCACTTTAACTAAATCCTACTACTCCTATCTCTTTATTTGGCTAATTTATAGATATATATTTTTCCCTCTTTAAAATCTAATATATTATATAAATCATTAAAAGCTAAAATCTTTGCATTGCATATTGTTTCCTTAGACACCTTATGAGCCTCCTTATATATTTTCCAATTTTAGTATTTTTACATCTAAACTAATTATTATAATAAAGTTTCTTATTTTTTATCTTTTCTTGCACATTTTAATTTCATCACCAAGTATTTTTATTATTAGGAGCTTTGCCTCTTGAAACTCCAAGTACATCCTTTGAATTTTTCCAAATAGCATTCGCTTCCACATGCACAGAAAAAATTTTAAAATCTCAAATCTTAATATCAAAAATATTTTTAGTGCTCTTTAAATGCCCCTATCTAATCTTAAACTAACATTTTACTATATTTTTCATATTTGACCCCTTCATCTTAAAGTCTAAAACTAATAAGCAATGTTGGATATATAATCTTTCATTCAGAATAATTTTACTATCTTTTCAATTTAAACGATCTATTTTTTATAAAAAAAATAATCAATCTGAGTTTTATTATATTCATTCTTATAAGTGATGATATGCTCATGTCTTTTCTTAAATAAGATATTAGCAATTACAAAATCATAAGCTAAGGAAAAATCTAATATAATCTTATCATTTTTATTAGTCGCTCTAAACTCATAGTCACCATGAATGTTTTTAAAATTCTTTTACCTCTCTATCAATATATTTATTTAAATTTCCTCCAATAAAAATTGTTTCTTCAAGAGACATCTTTTGAATTAATTCTTCCAAGTCATTCTAAAATTTTAATTTTAAACACACATCCAAACCTATTTGAGAAGCATAAGCCGTTATAATATTAATAATATTACCATCAATAATAATTTTCAAAGCTATAATTTCATCTTTAATTCTATCAATTTTTATAACATTATCCACCAAACTCTTATCTATAATCATACCTACACTATTTCTAGTACGACTTTTACTAGAATACCAAAGTTTAAATTCTAAACTATCAATCTTCTTAGTCTTCTCTCCAACCTATTTAGTTTCATGAATGCGTAAAATATTTATCTTCTTATGAATCATAACAACAACAAGCTTTTATCCCACTAGGCTACATGAATCATTTTTCTCCATTATATTGTTTAAAGTTAAATTCTCATTTAAATCTAATAATGAAATGTCATTTTTAATATTTTCTAATCAAGTTGTTTTAGGTCTACCTCTACCCTTCTTAACATAAGTCAAATCTAATACAATAACTTCCCTAATCGGGTTATCAGAAGGCCGCCATTTTAAGCGACTAAACCATCTAAGGCGACTTATCCATGCAAAACTTAGTATTATGCTTCTCTTTTAATGACCAACATTCGGCACCAGAAAACATTGCAAGTCTCACCATCATCTTATAGAATTTTCCCTTAATTTTGAGGGGGACTTTTCTATCACACAACAAGCCCGATGCATTCCTCCACTTTAACCATCTAACTTGAATTATGTTGATAACATCTCTATCTATTTCACCTTCACTCTGAATAATAGATCCAATATATCTAAAATGGTACTCTTATTAATGACTTGATCACCCAAAGTCACAATCCCCTCACTAGATGTATTATACTAAAATTACATTCCATATATTTATGTTTTAGATCTACTCAAGCGAAAATTTTTAGACTCTAAGGTTAACCTCCATAATTCAAGTTTACCTTCAACTCCCTCTCTAGTCTTATCAACAAGAAGAATATCATCAGTAAAAAGTATAAACTAAGGTACATCCTCTTTAAACTAAGGTACATCCTCTTGCAAATGTCTACTGAGAACATCCATGACTAAAGCAAAATGATATTGGCTTAAGGCTTTCTCAAAATCAACCTTTAGATTCAAAGGTTGACCTCCATAATTCAAGTTTACCTTTAACTCCCTCTCTAATATTATCAACAAGAAGAATATCATCAGCAAAAAGTATAAGCTAAGGTACATCCTCTTGCAAATGTCTACTGAGAACATCCATGACTAAAGTAAAATGATATGGGGCACCGATAGTCGTAGCCTTGAATCCTACCATGACTAAAATAGACAAACTCAAAATCATCAAAAATAAAAATAGAATTAAAGTTACCTATCATAATTAGAGTATTTTTCACAACTGGAGCGATGGAAAATATGCTGCCCTGAACCCCGCTTTCTCTCTCCTCTCTTGTCATGTCTTCTCCTCTCTACTATTCTCATCTGGCCAAGCAAAGGGAAAATGGGGAGGGATAGCTTAGGGTGAAGTTTTATCAAAATGGGTTTAGATGTTTTTTTTTTTTAATTTCTAACTCAATAATACAAAGCTCAAGACCCTAAAGTCATACCCTTGTAAACCTAAGAGCTTGACGTTATAGCACACCTAGCCAAAATTTCAAGTTTATAAAAATTTCAATGAAATTCAATTTTGAGGCTATTACAGTTATGCCTCTCAAATATTTCACAAACTCAAAATAGATACATAATCAAAATCTTATGACTCTTTATGCACAACCCATCAATATCAAGCTCTTATAACTCCAACGCGTACCAATATTAGATCCTTATGACTCAATATATAGCATCATTCATTCATTTAGAATCGGGCCCTTATATATTCACTTAGATACACATAAGCATCAATAGACATCCGCCAATATTTCCTTCTCGCATAGTTTCAATCACAAATAGATAAACATTAATTTTAGGAGCTTTCTAGCGGTTTTCCGACAATTTTAACCGGGCATCTAGACTAAAGAAAATGAGCCACGTGAGGAAGAAGGGAGGGGGTGTTCAATTTTAGGAGCTTTCTAGCGGTTTTACGGCGATTTTAACCGCCAGAAACTTTTTACTTAAAAACGAAGGCTAAACCACTGGTAAAAGCCGACACAAAAAGACAATACTTGTGGTATTTCTGGCGGCCAATTGACCGCCGGAACATCCGACGATTAGATTTTAATACAGGCAATTGAACCTCCAGTTAATAGCAGCAGTCAAACTGCCAGTTTAACCGCTGGTAGTTCTGGTGGTCAACTAACCACCTAAAATACCTCCGGTATTCAATTAATTTCCTATAGTGATAGAAAAAAGAAAAAGAAAATGAGTACCTTCATTGGTATTATTTTAGACGATGGATCCTATAATAGTTGTATTATTTATGAGAAAGAAAAAAGATATGGATAAAGATATGACATACATAACATTGATGATTATATATGATATTAATTTAAATGAAATTATTTTATATTTGAAAATGAGCAAGCATATTGTTTCAAAGGTCTAGTGTTACTATAATTTTAGAAGCATTAATTACTCAATGAGTTATGTTATGACTTATTCTTCCTACTAAAAAATATTTTTTAGGTATAATTCAATTAACTAAAATAAACAGAATAAAAGAAAATATATATCATAAGCGAGACACTCCAATAGAAAGGTATTTATATATTTTTTGAGTTTTTAGTGGCTCTTTCTACTTATTAGAAATAGTTAGTTAGTAATTGAAAATTTAAATAACCGTCCAACCATCTAGTCCTGCCTCATTAATTCGAGTCTCTGGACCGGATCGTGACAAGAGCTTCTGCTCGACTAGTTGCGGCAAGTCAAACTAAGGGTCCCATGAGAAGGTGCCTCCGTAGGGTTGAATTTGGTGAGAATGGTCTCCCTGGGCGAGAGCGAGTGACTAAGATATAGTCTAGGCACATGATGGTGCCAAGCGGCTAGCTCTAAGAGGAATCCTCAATTAGCCCTGTGCAGGGCAAGCTCCTTGGAAGGCCCGACAAGTGATGCCAATCAATCATTTCAAGAAAGTTCCCTTGCAATCCCCGAGCAAGTTCCCCAAGTGGGCCCCTTTTTAAGGACAAGTTCCTCTATCATGATATGTCAACTATCTGTTAAATAACTATAAAGGCATATGTGATTATACAGATTATAGATAAAAAAAATCGTTTATGAAGTAATTGAATTAGCAGTTTCTCAATCTCTACAAGTGTTTATCTGGTGCCTACTACACTAATAGCATAAAGAATCACTATAAAATACAATGAATCTAGTAAGGTTAGGAGAACCGTCATCTCGCCATTTTTACACCAATAACTACAATTTCCTTCTAAGAATCATGACAGTGTCATTGCAACTATTTGGATTGGCTATGTGAGCCCTAACTCTCCAATCATCCATATTGAGTACGACATTAGGTGTTCAACTAATTTTGTGCAAAGTTTTTTGCACAAATCTTTTTAGCAGAAGCTCGCCACGTTTATAGCATCTTGGACATAAATAGCATCAAAAACCATGCTAAGCCTTTAAGGAAAGAAAAAAAAAAGTCCTAGTAACAATCACAACTAAAAGATTATGCAGGCTTACAGGAAATGTATTCCAGCTTGGAACTTGAGCCAATCCTTGAGGAAGAATTACTTGCGCATAGCTTGAAGGAACTTGCCAATGAGGGCTCGCATTGAAAGAAGTCAGTTCCCCAGGACATAATGTTTGGCTTGGCGTTGTCCGTGAAAGCCACCAGGGCATTGAATTAGATGGCTCAGGATGGTTAAATGTACAGGTTTTGTTGAACTTGCACCATCCATTTGTTAAATAAAATTTGCAATCAATCACATTCTTAAAAAGATAGAAGAAGATAAATCAGATATCATAGAATAAAGAAATGAATTAAATGAATAGAAACTTAAAAGTTTAAGAACATAAATATTATCAGCAGGAATCCCATACCAAACGAAGAGGATAGCCTAGGGAATTTAATTTTCTGATTCCGGGATTATAACTAGGGCGATGAAATTTCCATGCAGGTCCAAAATTGCATTTTCCAGTCTCCAGATAGTGCTGATGAAGTAGAAAACAAGAGAGAAGCTTATTTCACGTTAAATCACAGTACAAGTTCAAGATAACTTAATGCTCACTGAGAAAAAAAATATTAGATAACCAGTGCAAATAAGCCAGAGAAATTGTGAAGAACGGAAATGTAAAAAGTATCTTTTGTGATGAAGTCCAACCAAAAGGAATATATTATGGTGGTCCATGCAGTGACTGCAGCACTAACATGGTAATCTACGAATTAGAGAAAGAAATCATCCTTGCCACCCTACACTTAGGAAGAAACATAACTATGAAAATTCACACATGCAATAAGATCGGGATTACATTAATACTAATAAATATTCTCAATCTCTAAAGCAATGGTGCTTCAAAATTACCTTGAGTTTGTGTTGGACACATATCTGCCTCCAAAATAGGTTGTCACGTTTTAAAGACAATTCATGTCAAAATTATAGTCAAGACATAAGCAAGATAGAAGTGACACAGTAGCCACCATTTAAGCAATTTTCTTGTATAGTAGTTTTTTGGTCCAATTCAGTAATATATTTGTCTGATTGGGTATTATATAAAACCTCATGACAATTCCCATAATTTTTTTTGGGATCAGGATCTTTCTTGCTCCAGCTTATTGGTGCAAGCTCTAATTCACTATGGCTCCGAAAATTCGTGACCTAGCCTCTCTACATCCCCTTCCTTTTTTCGGATAGTTGATGAGAGTTTTAATGAGTAGGTTCCAAGGCAAATTTTTAGAAGGCGGATTAGGTTTTAGATAAGACATTAACCATAAATTTCAACCTTGTTTTGCGAGAACTTTATGAAATGAGTTCAGGTTTCCTATAAGCGCAATCCCTTATAGTTAATTACCAAACCCCCCCCCCAGAGCGAGAGAGAACTTTCGATTAAGGCAAGTCATCAAATAGATACATAGTATTTGGTGTACAGTACCAGCAAAATTTGATATTTCAAAATTGAAATTTATATCACTGCGCACTTAAAACCGATGGTGGGGGAATGATGATAAAACCGATCATATCCATCGTCCCGAGTCATCATGATCCCTAGTCTACTTAGTCAAATGAGATAGCCGACCCAATCTGACCAAAGGATCCTTGTCGGTAGCCATGAGTTGCTTTGTCCAACGGTACCTTGTAGACTTGGGGTGGATATTTGCTTGAGGGGACAGATTTGAGCCCACCTTAGCTAACATAGGGCTTTGTGCCCTATTGATCATATTATATTGATTCATTTCTCAATGATTTAGTATCGTTGGAGAACATACGGGCTTTAACCATGATCGTAATTTAATGATGTCATTTAGCAAAGAAACCACACGATCAGAGGGTCCCGATCATAACCGTTGATATGTAATGCCATTTGGCAATGAGACCACTAGTTAGAGGACACGTGCCATGACCTTAGTGGCAAGAGATGATTTGAGAATGAATCCTAGTAATATTCTCGATTAGACATTTTCTTTTTGTGACCTGAAGTGATTTTCTAACTTGTCCAACTCGACAAACTGCTACGGATAGTGGATATTTTATATTAAGTGTTTAGTTGTTTTATTTGAATGTTAAATATTTATATACTTCATGAATATGAAACTTTGAAGTTTTTAAGAGAATTTGAAAAGTAACCCCTCCGATTATGATTTACACTCAACATGACCATCATCGGGTGACATTAAAGTCAATTTAGATTCTTATATTTTATAGGAATTTTGGAGGGATTTTGAATATTTGGGATCCCATCCAATTGAGATTTTCTATCAACACGATCATCATCGGGGTGATTATGGATAATCTTGCTTATTGATCAGACCTTGTCGGCTTTGTCTACTTGTAGACAGAGGATCAAGTTTGTCAACATCTTTATGCCTTTATTAATGAATTTTTCTTGTTATATACCTTGATGGTCTCATATAAACGTATGAAACAAAAACTTTGATCGGCGTTACGACCGTATATTTGTTCAACGATTCAAACTGTATCAACTTTGTCTCTTTGCCGACAGAGGACCAGACTTGAACTTAAGTTCATTTTTTGACCCGCGCAACATCCTCAAACATCACATGTGTGTATATGTCACGCTCGTTGGAGCACATACAGGTATATACTTTTGCATACATTTTGCATAATATATTTGTATGGTAGCCATTTGTATGCAATGCAATGGATGTCTATGACATATTTACATGCTCACATACACACTGATGTATTCATCTGTATGTTGACATACTCGCACCTGTAGCTATATATTTGCAGGAATACATGTATGCTGACATGTGCATTTACGCATCATTTGATGTGCTTGCATGATGAATCGCTATGCTTCATCAGGGTTAATGCATTAACATAACATATGATATATATACATGACATACATGTATAATGCATTCATGTATTGCCTATTTGTGCACAACACACATTTGCATGATAATTCAGTGATCTCATGTAGTGTATGATGTATTTGCAAGTTAATGTAACACGCTGCCGCTATACGGTATATTTTATATGTTGGATAATATGCTTGCATGATATGTTTTGTATTTTACAACATATATATGCATGATTGAATGCATCAGCGCGCATTTCAATTCATGGGAGTGTTTTTGCAATATTCAAATATGATTAGTTTCAAAATTTTATTTAAAAGCCTACACATGCTTTATGTCCACTTGTACAAATGTTGCGGATCTGGTCACAAGATTTAGCAGTGCGCTAAGTTTCATTGTAGCGCATCGACATTATAGTTTTGCTCATTTTATATTCTGCATGTTGCCATCTTCTTAAGTATTCAACCTGCAAGAATATATTTCAACTTGCTAATAAGTTGTGCAATGCGTAGGGAGCCTTCTACCCGTCACTTGCAAACAAGCTGGTTTATTCGATTTGATAGCTTGGCACCGCAAATCTATTACCTCAGTTTACCAGTGGCCCGCATTTTATACTGCAAATTCTCTATTTCTGCTTATAGGTGAATCGTAGTGTTGTGCCTCAGGTTGCTTGTTGCTTCTTGCAAGTAAGCCGTCGTATAATGCAAGCTTAGTGCATCGTTAGCAGACATTCAAAAATTCACCAGTTGTTGCATGCACGTTGATGTAGACAAAGGGGGGTCAACTCATGTCCAAAATAAATCAATTTTGACTTCCCCCGAGTTTACAAGCTCAATCAATTTGACCTGAAATTTTAGCTCATTTATGAGATGGTCTTTAGTTCATTTATTGAACTAAGTGTTAGCTCATTATTAGCTAAGTTTTAATTCATAGTTATATTTTATTTAATGTACTTTTTATTATAGTTTTTAATATCTTCATTTAAGTTGTCTCTTGGGTTTCCAAAAGGGCTTTTGGAATCCCAAGAAGTTGTTTGGTTTTCCCATGTGTGGCTCCTTGGCTTCCACCATGAGCTTTAGTTTTTTTTGTGTGCCTTTGCCCCTTGGAATTCCGGCCGGCTGCTGGTTTTCCGAGCCTGGGATGTTTCTCGTGGCTGTGGCGCCTTGGTTCCGTGCGGCCTCCTTGTCTCCCGCGGCTGCTCCTTCGGTTCCTGGGCTTGGGTGGTTTTTCGTGATTAGCATGGGAGGATTTCCATGCTTGTGATGTTTAGGTTCTTGTGAAAATTAATGTTGTGTGTCCTTTTGTATTCCCCTTTCATACCTATATATATGAGGGGCTTGTAATATTTTAAAGTAGTGAATGTTATGTGATTTTTGGAAATGTAAACATACGGGTTTCATGAAAAAGCTTGCGAGCTTTGTCCGTCTTCTTTCTCATCCCCTCCGGAAATCTTACGAGCTCTTTCCAACCTTACGTCTCGACTTCTAATCTATTTCGTCTCTTCGCAAGTGTCACTCCATCTGTATCTTTCGTCTTTGAGTAAAGCAACTTTAGGGTGTCTTTGATTTTGAGTCAAAAGTTGTAATCCGTCGTCGTTTGTAATGTTTTTTTTTTCTTCTTTTTAGTTTAATTTGAAATGTAAGAGTTTGTTCTTCCTCATCTTAGTCGCATCATTCATGAATTAGTGGGTCGTCGTTCAGTTTTATCACCCATGCGGGCGAGGGGTATAGGCTCCCCTATATTTCTTTCCCCCACCACACGTGGACTGCATTCAACGCATATCTTGATTGTAGTCGGGTCGTAGCGTTGGCTACGGGTTGCTCATTTCTTTTTGCAACCGAGCTGTCATGCTATGTTGCCTATGCAAGCTTTGTTAGCAATGAACATTTAGAAATCATCAGCTTAGCTTGTAGCCAGATTGATGTGTACATGACTAATTTTCTACAGTGGCTCATAGATGTTTGCATTTATCACAACTCTTATATATTTGCTCATATATAGCATGTTATGTACATTACGGGTCTTGTAGTAGCTCATAGGTGCTCGTATTTATGATGAATCGACTTCCTTTTCTTGTAGGATACTAGTGTATTTACTGAAAGCTTGATTGTTGTTGTCTATATGAATGCTCTGGCATTTATTGCATGATGTCTATGTACATCTGTAGGGAATACCACCATTTGTAGGAAAGCTTAGGGTGTTTATTTGTATGTTAATGTGGACAGTTGGATAAGCTGCATTCTATGCTGAGTTTTTCATGCATGTTGGCTGGCGAGTTGTCATGTTCACTGCACATTGACTTTGTGTTCATAGAAAACTATTGAACATATGTTCAGAGACCCTTGTGGCCCATAAGGTGATTGTTGTTTGTTGTTGTATGGTAACATGGATACTTTCATCAAAGGTTATTGCCCTTGCCCTTTGACAAGCTATAACGTTTGAATTAAACCTCCTTCCACCATTTGTATGTGAGGTATTATGTACATGATGGGTTCTTGACTCTTACCCGTAGGTGAACCGTCAGTGGATGTTTGCATTGATCGTATGTTGCACTGTGCTTTTGCTAGATGCTTGATTGACTTTGACCGTGATGGTTATTCATCTATCGTTGTCTATAGGAGAGTTGTATTGAATGCAAGTTTTCTAATTCTCTGTAAACAAGTTGGTATGC